TCAGTTTATGGCCACTGTCTCATTTTTCTGCTGTGCGCTGCGACATAAAGAGCTTGACCTCACTGGCTTAGTAAACTCTTCTTTAAGTACTGCAAGGCTGCTACTAGATGTCTGCTAAAGCCTTGTTGTTTTTCAGGTTCAACAAGCTGACTGCGTTGGACCTGGTGTGCCCTGACAATCTTACTTGAGCCTATCAACATCTTTTGAGTACTAGGAGTGTCCAAAGCTGGATACAGTATTTCAAATGTGGTCTAACAGATGCTGAGTGAAGGGAAATAATTGCTGCTCTTGGTCTACTGGCTGTGTGGCAGTTGATACAGCCCTCTGTATTTCAGTTATTCAATTAGCCAATAATTCAATATTCAATTAGCCTTCATTACTGTCAGGGTGCACTGCTTGTTTACATCACAGCCTGTTATCCACCAAGACCTCCAAGTCTTAAGTAATCTTAAGACCTCCAAGTAATCTTAAACAGCCAGTCAGTTCCACAGCCTGTACTGGTGCAGAGGGCGTTAGTCTCTGCTAGGTACAGGACTCTGCTTTCGTTCTTGTGGAAATTCGTAAGATGCTTGGGAACCCATTCCTCCAGACCGTCTAGGTCTCTCTGAAATGCAGCCTTTCCCTTGAGTATATCGATGACCCTGTTGTAGCGTCGTTCACAGACTGGTGGTGGTGCAATCCAGGTCAATGATGAAGAGGTTAAACTGGTTCCAGAATAACAGATTCCTGGGGAAATTCCCTTCTATTGGATTCCAAGTAGAGGACGAGCTGCTGACTTTGAGCCCAACGATCTAACCAGTTTTTCACCCATCTAGTTGTGCACCTATGTAGACTGTAACATTATACCTTGGGAACAATGATGCTGTGGGAGAACATTAAGGTCTTGCAAAAGTTGAGGGAGATGATGTCTACTGTTCTGTAATTTGTAGGTGTGGTAATAAAAGACAAGCAGATTGGTCAAGCATCATACTATTGGTAAATTCAGTCTGTTCTCAGTTACTTTCTCATGTGTCTAGAAATAACTTTCAGGAGATCTTGCTCTACGACTCTTCCCTGGAATTAAAGTGAGGCTGACCAGCTTGTAATTCTTCTGATTCTTTCATGCTCTTCTCAAAGTTGGCTGCAATGTTTGTCTTCCTGCTGTCATCAGGAGTCTCTCCTGACCTCCAAAGGCTTTCAGAGATGACAGAGCGGTCTCACAATGACATAAGCTACTGCTCTTAGCATCCTGTCTGGTCTTACTGACTTATATGGGTTGATTTCTCAAGAGATCCTTGATTCTAGCCTGTTCTGGGAATTCCTCTTCTTCAGCCCATCTAATGTCTGTGAGAAGTTGTCCCCCACATCCATCGGAGACTTCCCAGCTTGCTTGTGGTCTTCTGTGTTGTTTTTTCAACAGATATCAAGGAGGTTAGTTTCCTGTTTAAAAAAACAAAAACCAAACAACAAAACTCAAACCAAAACACCAAACAACAAAACCCAAACCAAAGCACCAAACAACAGACCACCCTTCCAAACCCCTCCCTCCCAAACCACTAACAAACCAAAAAACCACCCCCCCAAAACGACTCAGAGCCCCAAAAACCCAAAACAAAACCACATGAACACTCAAGGGCTTGGAGACTTTGAGTTGCTTAAAGAAAAATTTGTCCCCTTTGTCAGCTTGAGCAGGTGAACTGTTAACCAGTCTGCATGGCGGTATTACCCTTACCGGCCTCTTCCTTGTTGCAGACCTTCCAGCTCTTACCCTCTTGCCCTTTCTCAAGAAGAGACCCAAATATCTGACCTGCCCTTTCATAACAAGGCCAAGCCTCTCCTACTGTCTGTCTTATACTGTCTGTCTTAAAGATTGGGTCACCATTCATTGCCGCACTGCAGTCGTGTGACCCGTCCCACTGTGTCAACTCTTCGAAGGATGTTGCAGTTCTGTGTCTGCATGCAGGCTCCAGCTCCTCTTTGTTTCCTTGGCCACATGCCTTTAAGTATAGTTGCTTGAGGTGGACCTCTTGATTTTTATTTTTTTTTTTTAATTTTTTTTTTCCCTCCTCTTGATGCCTCTAGGCTTTAACTAGTCTGCAGCTGTCACCAGCATGACCCTGAGGAGAGGCAGTGGTGGTCCTTGCCTGCCGTAGGCATGGGCTGTGACGGCCTTTCAGCCCCCTTGCTTCAAGCCTGACCTTGGGCCAAGGCAGTTGATGTGTGATGGGTGCTCCTGCAGCCAGGGCTGTCAAAACTACCTCTACTATTAACTCCTCCTCCTGAGAAACTACCAGAAGTATCTCCTGCCAAAGGCCCTCTTAGCTGCTGCTGTGGCCGCCCTCCTTGTGTACTGGTTCAGCTGGTGTCCCGGTAGCGTGGGGTGCCCAGTAGTGCCGAATGGACAGTCTGTCCTCCCTGCCCCGCCATCCGGCGCTGGCACTGGGAGAGTGTGAAGGTGACTTTGTTAGTAGGCAGTCAGCGTTTGGAGCGTGGCTTTCCGTAGAGCCCCTGCTCAGGAATCATTATTTTGAGTCAGAGCGTAGAGATATCAACAATGGTCTTCTATAGGTGAGGAGCATCAGCCTGAATGGTTCCGTCTTGTCAAACATCAGGGTCAGATTAGGCTGCAGACAGCGTGTTGCTTGTATGGTAAGCTGTACTTGGGCCTAGACCGGGGCAGCAAGCTCAGATTTCCCTGTCCCAAGTTCCCCTGCCCTTCTCTTTTGGGGTTAGCGCGGGCAGGAAAGTTTGGGACTTGGTCACACGTATCAGTACGGTTGTGTTGCGTGGGGAGCATCTTCCTTGCGGTGAGGCTCTGGAGAGCTGTTGCTTGGTGAAGGGATAATCCTCCAAATACAAATTCTATTCTAGCCTAAACAGCTTTTTTTTTTATTTTGTTTTGAGGGTTTTTGTTTTGTTTTCTGTTTGGTTTTTTTTTTTAATTTTTTAGAATGTTCCTCAGGAGACACAGACCCATCTCCATTTGGTTAGTATGGTCTCTTTAAGGAAGGTGAAGTGTATTTATGGTAATTTTTATCACTGAGCAAATGCACCTGCACAGTTTTATAAGATACAAACAAGGTCAGAATACCTAACTGTGATAGTAATTCCTGTTATATATAATTTACGAAAGATTTGCAGATGTATGGATTAGATAATTAGGCACTTGACATTTTTTAACAAGTATTGCAGTTTAGATTTCTAATTAGCACATATTTCAGTGAAGAAAAAATAGTCAATTGTGCCTAAAAGAGAGAATGTTTACAAAAGGAAACAGAGCCTTTGGTATGGGAGTTAAAATAGCTCTAAATCTGTTTCAGTAAGAAACACTGTGTATGGCTGTTTGTTACTTGGCTTTGGTTTTTTGGACAGATCAGGTGTGTACAGAATCACACATTTTTATGTCTCTATTAAGTAATTCAATATATTAATGTTAAATATGAATTTAGGAAAGATTGTACATTGAGTATAATCTCTCAAAATTATAGCGTATGTTATTCCACAAGGTTGAAAGAAGGTGAAGAAATAACCTTTAAATATACACATCTTGACACTGTAAATTTACCTATCGCACGGTTCTATTGCCTGGGTTTTGTTTATGGAATTGAACTAGATTCAAGAGATGGAAAGCCTGGAAACTTCAACTCAGTTGTGCCCTGGTTCTTATTGCAGGCACAAGTATCAGGGCTGCTGCATTTCAGTAGCTGATCCCACAGAAATGTACCCCTAACTTTCCATGTGTATCAACATAAAGAGGACTAATATGCCAGTTAAAGGGCTGCTAGAAAGCTTCTGTGGAGCCTTTGGGTCCCTGAGTTTTCTGGTGCATTTCCCACCAAGAAAGCTGTACATAAAATTGTCTGTCAGCAGTTATGCCCAATAGGAGCAATCTTTCTGCCATGAAAAATAAAATTAATGATTGCAGTATCTTACAATATTTGTTTGAGTAATTACATATGTAAAAGAGAAAACAGAGGGCAGTGTGTGGAATGTGCAGTATAACACTCAATTATGCTTTAATGCAGGGAAAAAGTAGTAGTACAGCTGGTATGCTCTATGAAGGGAAGTATTGCATCTTCAGGTTGTGTGTTCAGTGGTTAAACTTCATCATAGAATCATAGAATGGTTTGGGTTGGAAGGGACCTTAAAGATCATTCGGTTCTGACCCCCGTGCCATGGGCAGGGACACCTTCCACCAGACCAGGTTGCTCACAGCCCCATCCAACCTGGCCTTGAACACTTCCAGGGATGGGGCAGCCACAGCTTCTCTGGGCAACCTCTGCCACTGCCTCACCACCCTCACCGGGAAGAATTTCTTCCTCATATCTCATCTAAATCTTCCCTCTGCCAGTTTAAAGCCATTGCCCCTTGTCCTATTGCTCCAGGCCCTTGTCAAAAGTCCCTCCCCAGCTTTCTTGTAGGTACTGGAAGGCTGCTCTAAGGTCTGCCCAGAGCCTTCTCCAGGCTGAACAACCCCAACTCTCTCAGCCTGTCCTCACAGCAGAGATGCTCCAGCCCTCTGCTTGCCAGCCAGAATTTTCAAGGTCTGCAATATTACATCTGCAGTTCTTTCATCGAATTAATGTGGAACTAACCTCGGCTATTCCTGAATATTAAGAGGGCTGTGTGCTTTAAATAATGGTTAGTTTTACCTTTACTTCTATATTACAAGCACTTTGTAATTACTGGTTTTTAAAATTTGATTATTACTTTTGCAGAAGAAAATGCCAACAAAGACGATTCATACAAATAATTGTTGTAAATGCCCAGACTTTTTAAACACACCGAAATTGTCTGTGCTTTTAGAATGGGCTTTTTTGGTGTATCTTTGTAAGAAAAGAGACAAGAAAGGAATACTCATTAAAGAATCAAATGCAAATGGTAAAACTTGTTTTTTTGTATGTTGATTGCTGACGACTTCCACATGACTGGAATAAAGAAGTGTTCCTTCTGCTTGTATACTTCAGAACTTGACTCAACTTTTTAAATACAGTTTATTCTTTTTGTTTTCATTATTTAAGGGAAGGTTTTAGGTTTTCCTCTCAAGAAGCTGCTTCAAGTTTTGGTGACGATCGCTTACTGATAGAAAAGTTCATTGATAATCCTCGTCACATAGAAATCCAGGTTTGTATTATTATTAATACTATTAATTATTGTTTGTTTATTTAATAAGGTTTCAACTGATAAATTGATCAAAGTTCAAAACATTTAAAACACTCTGCTAAAAAAGGCCTAGAGTCTTGTGTTTTCCTGTGTCTTGGGCCATTGCTCAAAGTACAGGGCTATCATACACAATCCAGCCTTCCTGTTTGTATTCTCTAGCCTTTCTTTAGCAGGAAGACGATGAACTGTGCTCAATTCGATGGGGCCGGGGGGGGGGAAAAAAAAAGAAAAAGTTGTAGGATCTGTCTTGAGGGCTGGAGCTTGAACTCTGGGTCCTGACTGCAGTGCTTCAGGGCCGCAGAGGATGTAGGAGTTCAAGCATTGCCATGCTTCAGATTTTTCTTGCAAACTCTAGGTGGTTTTGTCAGTATTTTTGGATTCTGTTCTAAATATCTAACGCTCCCTGGGAACTCGGAAGCATTTGTGAACCATTTTGGGTAGTTTGTGGTTCAATATCAGGTGTATTCTCCTTAACTTGTGTATTGTGACCATTTATATGTTTTATTGGACCTAGTGTTAAGCTAGGCGTGGTAATGCAAGCCAAGACTTGTTTCGGACAGACTCTTTTAACAGAATTCTGATTTTAAAATTTGTGATGTGTTTGATCTGATGTAGGCAACTACACTGGGTTTGTAAATAGCCTTGAAATAATCTTTCCTGACCAGAAATCTATATGGAGTATGTCCATTTCCTCAACAGAAATTTCATTTATTTTTGTCCAAAATATAAATGCTTTCTAAGTTGTAGCATGGTTTAGTTTTTTCTTTTTACAGTAAGAGCCTGAAGTATTTTGACAGTAGCTCAATAACTGAATGAAACAACAGTAAATTTGATAGTGTAGAATGATTTGTAAGAGAGAAACGTTTAACGTTTTTTACTCCACCAGATGTGTGTCCACAACCTGATACTTTTAATGTTTTTATTTGTTTTATGTGCGCAGGCTAACTTATTGCATATAGTTTGGGTTGGAAGGGACCTTTCAAGGTCATCTAGTCCAATCTCCATGCAATAAGCAGGGACATCTTCAACTTGATCAGGTTGCTCAAAGGCCTGTCTAACCTGACCTTGAATGTTTCCAGGGATGGGGCATCTATCAGCTCTCTGGGCAACCTCAGCCAGTGTTTCACCACCCTCATCATAAAAAATTTCTTCCTTATATCTCTTCTAAATCTACCCTCTTGGGATTTAAAGCCATTTCCCCGTGTTCTGTCACTCCAGGCCCTTGTCAAAAGTCCCTCCCCAGCTTTCTTGTCGGCCCCTTTAGGTACTGGAAGGCTGCTCTAAGGTCTGCCCGGAGCCTCCAGGCTGAACAATCCCAACTCTCTCAGCCTGTCCTCACAGCAGAGGTCCTCCAGCCCTCGGATCATCTTCGTGGCCTCCTCTGGACTCGCTCCAACAGGTCCATGTCCTTCTTGTGCTGAGGACCCCCGAGCTCAAGGCAGTACTGCAGGGGGATCTCACCAGAGCAGAGGGGCAGAAATGAAGAAAAAGAAACAGTGAAATGGAGAAACACTCTGTAAAACTGAAATTTAAACCCCAACCTATTCTCTTTTGAAGGGTCACAGAAAGGCATATAATGAACGTTTAGTTTCAGTGTTGATCTTAGGTGACAAAAGAGGTCAGATCGCTAGAGCATCTTCCTATGTTCTCTTGCCATGGCTAATAATTTTTGGCTACCTACGTCTTTGTTTCTTTTTTTTTTGTATGGAAATCAGTAGACCTTAAAGATCTATTCCTTTCAGTGCTTGCAGATTTGGGGGCTTCAGCAGGTTCCTGTCAACTCATTGATGACTCAAGTTAAATGAGATTGATTCTCCCATACTTTCATGGGTTGGGGAACAGATTTTTACATTGCCTCGATTCCTTTAAGTTTAAAAAATCTTACCTCCAAAAAATTAGGCAGTACTGTACTTAATAGTTGAATACTTTCACCTAGATTAAACAAAATAGCTTTGCTATTAATAATTTATAGTTTTATTTATAATAAATGTACAATGAATGTTGTTTTCCTTACACAAACACTTTGATGGTACCCTTTAACAATATCATAGCGTATCATTTTGACTTCATGTTCTAATCAGCTTTAGGACGTTGACCTTGGTTCGTTTTCAAACTACTAAATATACAAACAATTTGAGACCAGATGCCAAATATTTATTAATTTAGCAGTAACTTTTAAATAGAACTTTTTTTAACGTTCTCATATAGCTCCAAAGCATTGGTACTTAAAATTGTTAAATAAGGGGTTTCCTGTGTCTAGCTATAAAACAATCACTTTGTAAAACATGAGAAAAGACTAAAACAATTAACAGGAAAATAGAGTCCAAATAGACTTTATGCTTGAACTGATTTGAAGTCTTGTTCTCCTGAAATATCTGATATAAAGGACCTGAGTTTAAAGTAAGAATACATGGAATGTCTAACTATTACTTGGCTAAATAGCAATCCTACAGCTGGAAATAGAATTTAGCTGAATCGAGGAGAGGTGGCGTTACGTTATATTTAATTATTTTGGCATATAGATTCACTTAGCATATACTAACATCGTAATCATCTAATCCCACAAAACAGGATGTTTTCTTTTAGGAATATTTAGATACTTAGAAAAAAGTTGTAGCTGTGACGTGCATTTTTAGTGAGGTGTGTACTGGAATCTTATGTCATCTCAGATACAATTTCAATATTCTGTAAATGTCTTCTGAAAGATAATTGTTTTATGAAGTACGTATCTTCTTTAGTTTCTGATAAGGAAAACAGGGGACCCAAAGTGAAAGTAAAAGCCTAATGCTAGATGTTGTTTGGCTTACTCAGTTTATAATTACGTTTTCATAGTAAATGTTCATGCATGTCTCTCTTTGAGCCATATTAATTGATAATGGAAAAACATTTATTTTAAGATCAGGACTGCCTAAATTAAGTAGGATACAAGAAATGTCCTGAAGTGAAAGAACGTATTTACTAGTTCACTTGAAAAATGTTTTATGATCCCCTTCAGGAAAATACAGAGAAAGAGAAGAGAAGCATGGGAACTCGGTGTTTGGTGGTGTGGTTGTTTTTTTTTTTTTTAAATATTCTGGGACTTTTTGGTTTGTTTTGGTGAGGCTGAATTCTGTGAGAAGTTGTAGGCTTTCTAAGAGGGAAACAGAAGTACTCACAAGGAATTGTTCTGCATACAGGACAACGATTTTTCCATCAAGTACCGTGCTATGCCCTAGAGGTACTGTTTTAATATTAAAAAAGGAACCAAAAAATCTTTGATCTTCCCAAATGAGTTTCTGTGGAGTTCCGTGATGTTTAGTTCTGGATTGGATGAGTTAGGACTTGGGTAGGAAGTTGCTTTAGATGCTGCTGCTGTTTTTCTGTTGCTGTTGGTTGGTTTTGTTTGTTTGGTTTTGGGTTTTTTGGTGTCTCTTGGGTTTTGTTTTGTTTTTTCTCTTTGTATTGAGTCTCCTGTTACAGAATCTAGCAGTTGGCTGGCGTACCCTGGTGCTGCAGCTGCTAAACCTCCCCCTGGCAGGGAAGATGGTTCTGGGACACACTGTAGTTTAGGAAATCCTGAAGTCATTGATCTTGTAGAACTCTTCCAAGGAGATTCTCCCCCCTAGAAAGCTCCATAAATTTTATAAGGCTGCACCAGAATTTCTGAGGAGAAGATAGGTCTGATCCTACAGGCTGTGGAGCACTCTGGATGTGACGCTGCACAGTGCCCATGAGTTGTCTTCATGAGATCAATGCCTCCTTTTCAGTCACATCTAGCCAGGTTATTCACGCATCAGAAAACATTGGTGTCATAGATGCAGGAATTCATCTTGCTTAGTGCCATACTTGCTCTGTGATGCTAAAAGGAATAATAAATAATACAGATTCATTGTCACAAGTGTGAGTGGATATGGTTGAGTTCATGCAGTTTGGGGAAGGTTGTCTCCTTTATTTATCTTGCTGGTTTTCAGTGTAGAACTGTACTATCAGAATGAAGCATGGATATTGGCACAGGTTCCTGCAGATCAGAGCAGGAAGATAAATGGAAAAAAATGGATTAGAGGGAAAATTTTACAAGGAAAAAAGGGAGCAGGTGTGGTCTGCGATGAAAGAAATTGTTCCATGAGTAAGTATAGACTGTAACATCAAAAAATTGGAAGAAGTAGTCTACTTGAATCCTCAAATCCAGTGTCCCAATATTGGAAATGGCTGCACCAAGGGATAGAGTTCCTTTTCTTACTTTTCCTTCCACTTTGAAGTTGCAGGATCAATTGTGAGAGTTCTGTTACGCCCAACTTGTGTTTTTTCTAGTGTGTAACTGAGGTAGTTGAATCTAGATACTTGACTGTCATGAACTGAAACTGTAGATGACACTTGGTTTTTAAAAGAAATTCCTTGAAACTACTGCTTTAATTTCCATTGAAAGTACTGAGGAAGTAGTAAGTTTTATTCCCCTTCATAAAAGATTGCCAAGTTTCTGAAAATTTTTTTCTTCCTTGTTAAAGAAAGGCTGCTGTGGTTTGCCTACCAAGAAAGCTCCATTCGCCATTGCTTCTGAAAACTTTTGTGTAATTCAGGAGCAAAATTTGGCATCCTTTGAGATTTTTCTCTCCTTCGTTGACACAAGATATTGCTTAACAATATGCTTCTGAGTAACTTCATTACACAATACAATTTTAAATGCTTGAAAATGTAGTTTTAATCTTATTTCTGTCTTTTGATTTCTGAACTTGTGGGAGCTTCTTACAAATTTTGAAGGGAGTGGTTTTTTGCCGTATGTAGACTCTATGTAGAGGCTTTAAAATAATCCTATTCAGAATTTGAAGGAACATTCAATTAGTATTTCATATACAATTAATTTTCTATGCTAGCATTTTTTCCCAACCTTTATTTCTAGATTGGAAAAAAATTATTTTTAAATTAAACTAACTGCATGCCACATAGTAATATAATGTCAAAAGGCCATCAAAAGGCCATATGCATACATCTGTTTGTTAATAGCAGCGTGTTATTGTTTCAGGTTTTGGCAGACAACCATGGTAATGCCTTGTGGCTGAATGAGAGAGAGTGCTCCATTCAAAGGAGAAACCAAAAAGTTGTGGAGGAAGCACCGAGGTATGTATATACTAGACTCTTGGTGCAGCTTCAGAGTTACTGATAGCGCTTTTGGAAAGCTGCTGATTTTGTTTATTGTACAAATGCAGGCAAATTGTAATCTATTAAAAACCATGAAGAAAATAAATGTTTAAGTGATTGTCATTTGACTGCAATGCAGTTTGGCGTTGTGCTTGAGGGTATTTTGATCTTACTTCATGATGTCTTTCTGTAAGAAGAAAACAGGTGTTGTGTTGTTAGTTTTTTTCATGATCTTGTATAAAATGGATATGGAACTTACTAAATTGTCTTAGTCCTACTGATTTCAAATGGAGCTGAAATACATTGCTGCTGTGCGAAGTATGGTCTTGCTGTGTTTTCTGTTGCATGGCGTTCATTAGAGAATATGCATAGAAAAAAGGACAGAGGAAGTTCTGATTTCAGAAAACCAGCCATAGGTGTATCACTGCCCATGGGAATTCCCAGTGTAATGCGTTCACCAGCTGGGATGAGTTTGCCATTATTTTATAGCACAGAACTATGTGATGCAACAGTTCAGGATGTGAGGAAAAGCACATCATCCAAATTCTGTTTATTTAGAGGCAGTGTGTAAGTTAATGTTGGGTCATAATTGTGGCACTGGCACCTAGATTTTAAATTAAAAAGCAAAGTTTAAATCTAAGGAGACAAACCCACTAATAAATTCTTAAATAGCTCTTGTTGCTTCCTGGTAGTGCTTGTGGATTTCTTGGAAGCCTTACGCCTAAAGATCTTGCTATGTTTTTGTTTGTGAAATGTGAATACTTCAAGTTGCAATATAGTGTGTGCGTGCATATACATATACTTACGCACTTAAGAGAGTCTTTTGCCTCAGGAGTACATGTAAGGCGCTGCCTGCTCGTTCTCCATGTCTGTGGTCAATTAAAGGGAGTGATATGTCTTTCTCTCACCAGCCAACTGTGATCAGAGTGTTTTCTTTCATCAGAAATACCAGCCTTTTAACTTTCTTGGGCTTCTCTGTTGGAGTTGCCAGTCAGTTTTCTCATCGCCTCCTATAACTCTACAAAAGAGTGTGGACAAATCAAAAGCTTCCAAAATTTGGCATGAAAACTCTTCTTCCTTCTTGTTGTTGAATGTTTTAGACTGTGCCAGACTTTTATTGACAGCTTTGGAAGCCTTATCTGCCTTGCAGCCACTTGCAGTTGGCTGCAGAATCCGTGTATTTACAAAGGGTTACAAGGCTGTTGCAGATAAGCAGGGCGCTAACTTCTGTGAGACTCCGCGGAGACCCTAAAGCCTGAAGTTAGCCCCTCCTGTGAATGCTGTTTCAGTTAGATCTCGTTGAGTAATGACTGCTTGAAACACCTTTTCTTTTACTGCTGGGTGGATGAAATACTGTCCTCTTTTCCCCTCCTATTTTAAATGGTAGCTGCCTTTAAAAGCTCTGAGATGGGTTGAAGCTTTTTTCCCATAAAGCCTAGGAGATAGGGATGGTTTTGGCTAAAATGTTTGTCTTTTGTACAACTCACGGCTTTTAGCTGTCCTCTTTTCCCCTCCTATTTTAAATGGTAGCTGCCTTTAAAAGCTCTGAGATGGGTTGAAGCTTTTTTCCCATAAAGCCTAGGAGATAGGGATGGTTTTGGCTAAAATGTTTGTTTGTCTTTTGTACAACTCATGGCTTTTAGCTCTGGCATCTTCTCAAGCCTCTTTTGATTTCCTTTTTTCCTATGATGGTGTTTTCCTAAGTATCTAGTTTAAAAGACTGATTGTTGAGAGCCTTTTGGCTTTGAGAATAATTTCTATGCTTTTCTTAAAGCTAAGGCTGCAGCTGTTGAACTTATCCTTATGGGATCATTTTGTGTTTGAATCTCCAGTTTTCCTAGGGAAGTTCAGTCTCTTCTGAAAAAAAAAATAAAAATCTCTCTTTTGAGGAGAGCAAGCTCTTTAGTTCACACTCTGAATTTATAGTATTCAAGGGAGCCTTGGTGTTCACGGTGGTCAGTCCCCCAGTTTCAAGTAGGAGACCAACAACCTTTGCTTATACCCTTTTAACCTGGCCAGTTATCCTACTCTGTTCTGGGAAGCACGGACGGTAAGACACATACGGTCATTGCCAGTTTTTCAGTTAGTGCTAGGCAAAGTTAGTGCTATGCAAAACTTCTAGTGATTTACAGCAATTTTCTTTGCTTCTAGCTTCACACCTTTTTAGAAGGTGCTGTTGGCTTCTCATTTCACAGAGGTTGAAATTTAAACAGATGGGTAACATTTAATAGTCTTCTTGTTCCTTGGTTCAGTTTTTGTTCCTCCTCTGCCCAAACTCTTCTCTCCGTTTTCAGAGACAGTTGCTGTGAGACAGTGTACTTTGGCAAGAAAAAATGCAAGGGTGTGGTTGTATTTCCTTGTCTGCAAGAGTGATTAATAAGGGATTCTTCCCCATGTGGAGAAACAAGGCCCATAAGCTTATCAGAAAATCCATCGATCCTTTAGGATCAATCTAAAGTACATGGATCAATGGAAAGTAAATATACAAGAGTCTTAGCTGACTTCCTGTTCAATAACTGGAGCTCAACGGAGCGCTCTTAAACTTTGCTCTGGTGAGAGCAGGTATCCTGTCTAACCTTTCAGAACCTCTTAGAAGCTTTTTAAAGCACTTTGACTTTTGCCTCACCACTTGGGTGAAGGAATGTCCAGCTGTTCAGAGGCACTTGGCTATCTGTACTGTTTGCCCAAAGTTAAGATTTTGGAATATTGTTATGGAGAAGGGTCCTTCCACTCACTGGGATCATCCAGCACTATCCTTTGTTGTAGCAGTTGAAGAGATGAAACATTTGATCCTCCATTTAGGATCATGGAACCATTTAGGTTGGAAAAGACCCTTAAGATCATCAAGTCCAACTGTAAACCTAACACAGCCAAGCCCACCACTAAACCATGTCTCTAAGCACCACATCTACACGTCTTTTAAATGCCTCCAGGGATGGGGACTCCACCACTTCCCTGGGCAACCTGTTCCAGTGCTTGACAACGTTTTCGGTGAAGAATTTCTTCCTAATATCCAACCTGAACCTCCCCTTATACAACTTGAGGACTTTTGCTCTTGTCCTGTCGCTTGTTACTTGGGAGAAGAGACCGACCTCCACCTCACTACAACCTCCTTTCAGGTCGTTGTAGAGAGCGATCAGGTCTCCCCTCAGCCTTCTCTTCTCCAGGCTAAACCCCCCCAGCTCCCTCAGCTGCTCCCCATCAGACTTGTGTTCCAGACCCCTCACCACCTTCATTGCCCTTCTCTGGACACGCTCCAGCACCTCAAGGTCTTTCTTGTAGTGAGGGGCCCAGAACTGAACGCAGCACTCGAGGTGCGGTCTCCAACTATCATATCTCAAAATGCTGAGCTTCAGGACACTGCGTGTTAAATCTCTCTATATTTGCAGGACTTTCCTGGACAAGTAATGTTGGAACAGCACCCTGCCACTGTATTCTGTGCTAGCGAGATCCATATTAGCATCCACAGTGAGCAGCTGCTTAGAACTTGCTAGCTGCCTGCTTATTCTCCTTTGACATCTCTACTTTTCCCAGTGATTCCATGTCCTTTGGGTTAAACCTTAGCATCCAAGATTTTCAGAATAAGGTGATTCTTAGGACAGTCGCTCAGCAATTTCCCGAAATTTCCCTGAGTTTAATCTCAGGCAGGAAATAATTTGTTTATTTTTTTCCTTCCTAGCTGCATGCCTATAGTTGAGATTGCCTTATCTATCCTAGATGTTTCTTTTGCGATGTCTTTTTAAATTGAAAGGTGTTCTTTCAATTTCAGTTCAAAGGACAGAAATGTTTCTTTCTATTTCTGCCTGTGCCAGAAAGATCTAAGAGGCAGGAGATTTAAAAGGGAGGCTGTTTTACCAGTAAGTGACTGCATTAGAATGCAAGTGAAACAGTTAAACTATTTTTGTGACCTTTTTTGCATGCTCCATTGTTAGCTTCTCTCAGGAATGTTCCTGTCCTGGGAAGGTGCACAGACAGCAACTTGTTTCACTTTCTCCAACCACTAAGCTCTCTCTGAAAGATCTCAGTGTGATGCCAAGTACTTCAGGATCATATTCCAGATTAACTGCCAAGGTGCTACTTGAAGCCACCGACAATTTGAATGAGTATATATAGGCAGGAATTTAGGAGAAAGGTATGTTATGGAACTCGTCTCTGTGTACAAGTTCTCCTTAGAGTTGTGCTCCATGTATGTGTATCAGACTCTACATTTCCTATCACTCTGTCTGGAAATCCTTGAAGGATTTGGGGTTAAGAGAGACAGCGAGCCTGTTCTGTTTGTGACCTGTGTACATGATCCATAGGTGGGCACAATTTAGATGTAGGGGCAAAACTGAGTTCTCAAATACTTCAGGATGTTTATGCCCACGGTGTGGTAGCACGTAATAGATATCTCAAAGGAGAATGGGTTTTGTAGGCAAGTAATTTCTTTTTTTAAACAAACAGTATGCCTGTTTCCTAAGAGCAGGTAAGCTGCCCTTGACATTTAGAAAATGAAGGTACTTTTCTCTCCTAGTGTAGCGGTATCTTCAGAGGAAGGGTAAATGTTATTGATGATTTTTTTTTTTGGTCTAAGCTGAGCAGTAAACTTCCACTAAATTTCCACTGATGGTGTAACTGTCTGTGCTTTTCAAAATCTCAACCTTATCTGTGAGTGAAGATGATGGAGATATTTTGGGAAACATTATCTGATGAACTAGGAGTGGAGCGGTAACATCTTGCCTATGTGGTTCACCTCTCTGGCTGTAGAAACAATGACACAAACCAATTGTATTGTCTTTGATCAACTTTACAATAGCTTGAGGAAGGGCTTATGAGTGAAATGTCAGGTCTGATCTTATTTTTTCTTTTTGATGCTTTTATCTTGCAAATCCTTTTTATTTTGTAGCCTTTATGCGACGGAGCATAGGAGCGATTTGGTCAAAAGAAAAACAAGTGTATGTGTGAGACAAAGATTTGAAGTCAGGTTTAAAATGCTGTGTTTTCATGTGATGCCTAATTAGACTGGAGAAGAGTTATTTCAGTTGTAAAAGGAGCCTCGTTAAAGAAGGGAGAAACAATGTATATGGAAAGTAAAGCAGCAGAGGGGAACAGGAAAACTTTGGTTAATTAACCTAGCTGATTGCAGGGATGGTCCAGTCATTTTGGAGCATAAAGCTTAACCACGTGGCAGGGATCAAGTTTAGCAGTGTGACACCTCTGTTCCATTCTTTGCCTACAGCAGGAGGTGTACAGATTGATCTTAGACCTACATTTAACAAACATAGGGAAGACACCACTGTAATAAAGGGGAGTAACTGTCTTTCATCTGTATAAGAACTAATAATGGTTATTCTAGAAATAGAGTATGAAGCCGATACTGAAAAGGTTCTGTTCTTCATAAGACACTTCATGATGAAAGCCCTGCAGAAACCCCAAATTGAATTATAGATTGTTGATTTTGTGTTGTGTATTATCACTCTTAATCAAAATAAGAAATATTATGAAACTGTCTTGCATTACCTGTGCCTATTTTTGATAGGTACAACACACAGCTTCTGTTTTTTCCTTTAATCTGGTGTAGGATCTGATAGCTTTCCTGGGATCAGACTTGACTTCCTTTTCCTGTTGATCCCATTTTTTGCCAAGAAAGGTATTTTTTTCCTAAATTCTGAAAATGCCCACCCTACCATCCATCAGAATCTGCCCACGTGGGCACTGGAAGGACAAAGGTGCTAAGTAGCACTTTTCCCGTGAAGAGAAGGATTCCCTTTTCTCCCAGTTTGCCTAGATATTTCCTCACTTTTTGTGTCATGTCAAATATGGTTTGTTGTGACAGAAGTCTATAGCTCTTCTGTGAGTTCAGGTCTCGGTGAAAAACGCCATAGTAAGTACTGAAAGACAAGTCCTGGCCCAGCACTGGGTTCTGTCCAAGTGTAGTCCTGGACCTGTGATGGAGCTTCACTGACTTTGGTGGGACCACTTCAGATACACGGAGGCTCCTGATTGTTCCTTTGCGGAATTAGGACCCACTGGTGAAGACACCTCAAGAAATTTGGTATTTTATTTTTAAATGGTAACTTAGAGCTAAGGTAAAAATGACTTCATATTCCCTTACAAAAGTACTTTAAAAATGATAGCTGAGTTATGTGCCTACTGTAAGTCACCACAGAAATGTAATAAGCATATTTATAAGCTTATATAAGATGAGCAGCTACATGTTGTCTTTCGTTGAAGGTCAGTGTATCAAGCTGAGGGGCAACCAGTTTCACCGCTCTGATGGAAACCCAGAGAAATTTCTCTAGCTCTAAATTATCAATCTGCATAGGTTAATCTAAATCTGCAATTTGCAGTACAGAGGAGAGTAACAAGCAGAATATGTACCTTCCCAGATCTTTCGGTTCACTGGATCAGTGGAAGTGGTATGTTGCTCTCCTAGAATGAGAAGGCCTGGCATTTGGGCAATGTTCACAGTGGCTCCCAAGGTGGTAGCTGAGCTGCTCTTTGGGTGCCCTTGAGCGGGTCCAGGATTTGTGGAAAGGAATGAATTGCAATTAGCAAACATGGATAACTAGTCTTCAGCTTACAAGTGAAGCCGAGAGAGGAAATATAGGATATGAAGGTTTAAGTTGTGATAGTGTTGATGGTGTTTTAGTTAAATATTGTGAATACCTGAATTTTTCTTCATTGCAATCTTACTCACGTGAGAAACCTGAATAAATACTTCATTAGCTTCCAAAACTACTTTATTGCATAGAATGTCAATGAAATGGGCATGCTGTTTTAGTTCAGAGTCAGAAAACAAATTCCCCTTAGACCTCCTGTCTTGTATTTTGACATTTATATTTCCATTGGATGGATTTTGTAGTTGAAGGTTTTTTGTGAATAGATATACCTTCTAAAATACTGTGGATTTGTATGGATTTATTTTCATTTAACTTGCATTATAATAGATCTCGGTGTTTTAAACAAGTTGTGTTCTGTTATTTTATATTTGAGAATACTGTTATTCTGAATTTCCTGTACATTAGCAGTGACTGCAAAGCATGCAGTATATCTATTTAGGAGTAATATAAATGTAAAGGCATACATTTGACAGTCTTGACATGTTTTCATAACTTAAATAATGAAGCTGTCCTCTTTTGGTAGTTTAAGCAGAAGATGAAATGATCGAATTATTATTTTTTTTAACTAAAGAAAAGCATTGTTTCTGTGTTGCAGCACTTTTCTAGACCCTGAAACTCGAAGAGCAATGGGAGAACAAGCAGTAGCTCTTGCCAAAGCAGTAAAATATTCCTCTGCTGGAACAGTAGAATTCCTTGTGGACTCCAGTAAGAATTTCTACTTCTTGGAAATGAATACTAGACTTCAGGTAAGAAAAACAGCTCTTCAGATTCAGATAAGTGTTATTTAAAAAACCAGAACATAACCTCCTTCCACACTTAGGGGTCTGCTCCTGCAAAGACTTAAACATAACTAACTTGATGCCATGTGAGCACTTCTCACTGAACTTAAAAGATCTACTCACTTAAATAAGGCTGCATATACCAGACTTTGCAGCAGCGAGCCCTTGCGCAGCACTCAAGTAAGCGTTGGGAGCTTTTGCTCTTTGTTACACTTGACCTAAAGACCTTGCAAGAGGTCGCTGTTAAGTGCCACTGTGAGTTCACAGTAAGTGGCTAGCAACTGTGCTCTGATGCTTTTCCCCACTGGTCCCTGAAGTTGTGTTTTTTTCTATTTTTTATACTTTGATTGCTTGCTGAGTTTCTCTAGGAGGGTGATTAAACCTAGATATGTGTATCAGCAATAAAAACACTAGCAATCTGCATGTGATTGAAATTGTGACTGGAGTGCAACTGTGTAAAAAGCATGCTGACGTGGTGTAGGATTTTTGTAACGACTCATATAGTCAGTAGTAGATGTCATCATGTACGCTGCAAATGAACAGACAAACAATTTTATGCAAAACCCCCTCTACCTCTTATTTGACCGTTGCATTTCTGGTCATAATCTAAGAAAACAGGCACATAACTTGAAGTCTGGATACCGTTCTCGAAGATGGGAAGAAAGTTCAACTTGTAAGCAAGTAAATTCCATTGTCTTTATCCATCTTTTCTCCCTTTGTTAAATAATACCAGAAAGACTGAAAAGGAGAATCAAGCAAGAGTGATTTGCTGCTTCCTCTGTTTTAGCTATGTTTCATTAGGGCTGTGTCCTGCCTGCTGCTTGTACACGTGGGCAGTGATAGCGCATAAAGAGATCCTTGTAATTCTGACCTCCTTGCATGACTTTGTACAACGGCTGGGTAAATTTCTGCTTTGGTTAAAGAAGTGAGGGAGGATTTGGGGGTATTGCAGTCTTCCCCTGTGCCAGGGGAAGACTGCTGGTAAAATATACCTTGTCTTGCAGGGAAGCAGTGTTTTTGGAATTAGTCGGGACAGTTATACCTCAGATGCTTTTGCTAGGAGTTTGCTATGCCCAATCTGGTCTACCTTAGATTTGGTTAGAGAGGGTGGTGGTTAATGGCAATGCATAGTTCATTAAAATATTATGAAGAATTTCTGTCTCTTTGGTCATATTCTTTACACTTTTCCCAATCTTGTAGTTTTTGAGAGAATGTTTTTTAATGACTCCTCATGTTCTTGTTTACACAGAAGAAAATTAATTGGTGGTGGTGTTCATAACCCACCAGAAGTTCAAAACCATTTCCTTGCTGTGATACATTATTGTTCATCCATTCCTAAATGGAATTAGTGATGGAGTATCCTTGGAGTCCTTTTTGCGTTGTGGTTTTTTTCTTTTTTAAATGTTGTCTTTGCTGTTTTTGGTGTCTTCCCCCCCGCAACGCCTAGTGGTAAGTGTTCAAAGTCCCAAACCTCACACTTGCTTCATTGTAGAGGTCTCCACATATGCAGTAAGAAAGCTTTCACCGTTCCATCTTCAAGTACTTTAAAGACTCCTTTTGAAATATAGGCTAAGCGGTTTGACAATTCCCTATAATAGCGGACTCATTCTTTCCAACTTTTAAAGAAATTTACTAACCTTGAATTACAGTACTTGTGTAGATATTCACTAATTCCTCTATCCTGACTGTGTATTGTCCCTTATTAGCATTTCAGCTTGAGGCTGGAGAGTAGCAATTTTCTCTGATTCTTCCCCTTCTCCCAGGTCTCAGGCTTTACTTTCTGTTCAGCTAACACTTACACAACTAACATCTTGTGCTTGCTCTCCTCTATTAAGAGCCAAACATAGAAACTCTAATGAAGGTTGTCCAGATTTAATTTCAGAACCAGGAGAGTCTCCGGATGTCCCTGTATTGCTTCAGCCTTTTTTTCCTTTTGCGTTTCCTAACTGTGAGCAGCACCCAACAGGCTCACTTGCTTTGTTTGTGCTGAACGCTCCACAGTTGGAAGAACTTTCCCAAATGATGGGCATCTGATCTGTAAATGATGCTCCTAAGGTCATTGTCAGTATGCATTGCATTACGGACACAGTTACCTGGAAGCATCATCAGAAAGTGTCTACTAAATTATGTGGTTTTCTGTGTCTGTTTTAACATTTCAGCAATCTCTAATCAGATCACTGTAGCCTTTTTACTTTAGATACAAACTTCAGAATATACTTGCATAAAGCTTAACTAAGCCCTGTCCAATACTTTGCACTGCCTGCTGATTTCTCCTCTCCCTCCCTTTGGAGTATCTGTCAGATATCTTCCAGTGTTTTTTTGTAAATTATTTTGCGGTAATTGAGAGTTGTATTACTACTTGGCTGTCTTTTTGGGGAACTCTTTGGGAATATGCCTTTTCTGCTTTATAGTCTTGCAAAAAAGTACTTACAACACCTTACAGGAAGTTTATATTTTATTCAATTTTTGTGTTAAGTGTTGCTGCAATACAACCTGAGGTTGGAAAGCAAAAGAAGTTGGTGAATCAGCTCCATTGTGTCTCTTGTATGCTACACAAATCCGTTACAGATGTTTCACTCCCTCCAGGTGATTCAGTTAGAATGATTTATTCTTTGCTGTTGGCGGTGTTCTTTTTTGTTGTATCTGCATTTCTGCCGTCTTTCAGAGGCAAGCTGGTAAGTATGAGACACGAGATTGGATAATTGCATAGCAAAACTTAGGTATTCTTACTTTCTGCAAGAAAACATAGAGATGTCTGCCCTAGCAGCTACAAGAGGACTTCTGTACATTGTCATTCGGGGCGCTTTTGGAGTGGTTTTCAGGCAGCTACCAGTGTTAGGATTGTAGAGGCAGACCAAATGTTGAGTATCTCATCCTTTAGAGCTGCTCATGCTGCAGTGGGCTTTGTGTTACCTAGTTGTCATCAACCTCATCAAGGGCAGTCGTAGTCCAAAATAGCCAAATAAGAGCTTTGAAATAAATAAGAAGTTTCTGACCTCTTTGATAGCCTTTCTAACTTCTAAATTGTGGCAGAATCTCCTTGTCATGCTACCAGCAGAAATGCTGGCTTTCACCAGAACACTCTCTTCTGCTTTTCGCTGGAAGATTACAAATGTTCCTCTTTGACTTTATAGGAAGAGAGTCTGCAGTCTGTAAATAAAGAATATCTGTTAATACGTGGGTGTGCGGTGTGGCTAAGCTCCTTACACGTGATTCAATTAGTGACAGCAAAGGGAAAATGTTGCATGTTCTAGAAGTTTGTAGTACCTTGCAATGAGAATCATCGCTGGTTGGCTTAAGAACTGAGGAAAGTACGAGTAGTGTGAAGACAGCGCTTACCCCGAATACAGTTTGTACATTTGTGTCCCGGGTCTGTTCCCAACCTTCTGCCTCCTTCATGAGTTGTGCGATTTAAATAACAAGTGAGCACTCCCTTCTGCCTCAAAACATGACTGAATTTGCTTAGAGTGATCGGATTGAAAAGATCAGTTGTATAGACTGTTATTCAGCACAGCTGAGTTGAGAAATATGGTGATTTGAGCAGCAGTGTGTTTTCTCATATGACAGTTTGAATACTTTTGTCATAACTTTTTAGGGAGTATAAGTTAATTTTATAGAATACTCTGAAGTGTTTGTAAGCGATTTATTGAAAGCAAATGGCATATCTGTATGTTTTTCTTTTACAGTTAGTGGTAGCGAGAGTATTTATTTTATGGAAATGTTTTCAGGTTCTTTTAAAGTACCTTGGTTCTAAGGCATAAGGCGAGTGTAAATAAACTTCTGTACACCCAGAAAACATTACCCAGTGTTCAGATTTTTTTTTATTCATTGCTTTCAGTGTTTTCATCAGATTTTCCTGATCCCTGGACAATGATATATTCCAGATCTTTGTCTTTGTACAAAACTGGCCATGCCTAGTGTAAAAGAAGAAGAGTTTTTACATGCAGCATCTCGTACCTCCCTTGCCATGTGTTTGTCCACTTGTGAAAGTATAAAAAGCATGGTTGGGAAATGTCTAGAAGTGTGTAGAAATCCTGTTGGTGATAGTCTGGAGCTCCACTGCTTATAAACTCCTGGTTCTAACAGTCTCTTAATGGTATCTGTATTCTGTTGCACATCATTAGGCAGCACCTGCTACACGTTTGCTCAGCGAAGGAGAGAAGTGCTGGAAAATATTGCAGCTGCACTATATAAACAGTAGCAGCAAAAAATAAATAGGCAAGTGATGAGCTGAGTCTCAATTGCGAGCTAAAACCCCAGAGAGGTGGTGACCTTGGTATCCGTCGCAGACCCACGGGCCGGGCCAGCAGTGATTTTGCCGTCTTGGTGTGCGTAGCTGCCTGGAGGATGAATTGTGGATGAATTATGGAGGTGGGCAGGAGAACGGGAGCTGTGAAAGGGGCTGTCAGGAGTTGGAGGAGTAGATCTCTACGAAGTCTGAATGACGGGATTTCAAAGTCAAGTCTCAAGCGACTGTTTCTGCTGCTGGCTGGGACTCGTCGTATTTCTTAATACTGGAATCTTGTTTTACTATGACACTTTGCTTCAGTCATTTTAAATAGGCTAACAAACAGTGTCAGATGGTAAAGACTTTCAATTGCTGCTAACCTGGGTTGAATTTGAACTACTGACCCGAAGGTGAAAGGTCTCTTATCCCATTACCAGTCCCCTAAGCCCACCAGAATCCATTCTGCACACAGTTTATACCAGCTGTTCATAGCCATTTTTAGAACCCAAAGAAAAGGTGATTTTGCTGCCAAACAACACTTCTTCACACAAGAGGGTCAGCCGACAACAGTTAACCAGATTTTTGCCACATTCTTGCCTCCTAATGCAACTTCCATTATGTAGCTACTGGTCGTCTGCTTTTCAGGCTTCCCAAAAGCACTACAGAAAAGCATTGCTAATTGTTGTTGACAGAAGAGAATGACATTGTTTGTGTAAGTCATTGAATCTGAAAGATGCCA